GGCAGGGTTGAGATGCTCCTGCTGCCATTCATATAGTGGTAATGGTTACTGTAAACCACTGATCCGTTACTGACTCAATGGTGAAAAGTTGCTTTAATTGCCTCCCTTTTAAAGGGTAAAATAGACATTGGCATATGCTGGTACCTGGATTCCTGTGTTTCTAATGGAAGATACAGAACCTTGATCTCTCTGTCTCACCGGAACTGCAGTTTAAACTGATGTGCTGATATTTCCACTGTTTTCCTGTGACTGCTGCCAAAGAAGTTAAACTGCATAGTAGCTCTTGCCTGCTGGGATTACTCACCTTGACACAAATAAATATTTGTCTTTCAAACAAACTTTCTGAAATGCTTTGCAGGGGGGTATTATCTTCTCGTGTGTTAGTGTGACAGTGGCACAATATGCAGGTGGGGGCATTTCATTCTTACCATAACTTAGTAAAAATAATAGTAATACTGCTTGTTTAGAATCATAGAACATAGCGAGTTGGAAGGGACCCATTAAGAGAACACTGGAAAGATATCAGCACAATATTAGATGCATTTCTGAGATGGAATGTCTTTATTTCATGACTTGCAAGATGCTTGACAGGTTGGAGACTTGACAGGTTTTGCCATGCCTTAGGACAGTGATGTCTTTTTCCCAAATGGAGATGTTGAAACAGTAGCTTTAACAGGGAAACTGAAGCTATTTATTTTTTCCCCTGCAGAAATGCAAACATTGGTATATATAAACTTAAAGTAAAAAACGAAGGATCTAGTGCTATGTTCAATCTGGATAGCAATGTATCTATCTCTTGCTGAGCTTTACTGAAATGACAGCAGTAGCTTTTTGCTTAGCTGCACAGTAGAGCAAAACAGAGCTGGCTGTGCAGCAGTTATCCTTCAGACATGTCTAAATTTTTCAGTCTATTTATGAGTATCAACAAACACTTTGTGCATACTTTTGCCATGCGTTGAATGCTTCTATTTTCCTTTAATTTAGCTTAAAACTAGTAATGGAATTCCTGAGGTTTTGAAAGGAATAGCTCTTGGCAAGCCTAGAGTTTTGAAGCCAAAGGCAAATTAAGATACCAAGCAAATACAGGGAGGGCTACTTCTTCAGAGAAGTGTGTTAAGATTCTTCTGACATCTTAGTTTGTTGTACTGATTTTTTTTTTTTTTTTTAATCTCTTTGAATTACTCCTTTAAAGCAAAATCGTTGTTATTTTTCTTTTAAAAAAATCTTCCTGGAACACAAGGTGACTGTTTTGTTTTTTTCCTCTTGATGTCACTCAGCAAGTTTAGCCTTTTCAGCCAGCCATTAGAAGTAGAGGGTGCAATACTCCTTTCTTTGTAGCTCTCTGTATTTTTCAGTAACTCAGGCACTGATTAAAATATGTCATTGTAGTTTAAATGAAATACGCTCTTGCTACTTAATCACCAAAATAATTGTAATTGAAAGTGGTTGTTATGCATTTGTCAGGTGATGTCATAATGCAGTAAAAAATTTATTTACATTTTTAAAGTCTAGTTGTGCTTTTTACAAAGCATATCACTAAGTTGCTTTAGCTTTGTGAGAGTAAGAGGTAGGACATAGGGAAGCTTGCCTGTCTGTCACAGCCTGTCCCTCTTTGGCATCTGTGGTACTGCTTTCTGCAAGAATCTTTCTTCTTTTGTAACTTCTTCCCACTAATCTTGAGCTGTTCAGCTTTCATAGAAATCTGGCATGCTATCTCCTTTATTTAGGTTAGTGCATTTCTTTATTGAGTTTCGTGGCTCTATGTGCCTTCATTCAGTCCTTGCAATGTTTTTTATTATCATAAGCATGTCTGGGAGCTCATTATCATCTCTCTCAAACTTAAATCATTTGCTTGCCATTTGCAATGCTGCTGACAGTGATATAATCCTCTCTTGCCCAGGGCAGTTGTTTGGGAGTAGCCCTCTTTTTTCCCTTGAATCCACAGTCATGTTTTATTCATATCCTTCTTCTTCCTTGTCCAAACAACATTTTCAAGACCACGTTTTCTTTTTCTGTCTTTACAAGTGAAGCTGAGGCCCGTATCTGGAGTACTTCAAGTGCCTCCTCCCTCTTCTGCTGATATTCTTGTCTCTGCAATCTGTTTAAAATACAGCTGGTACCATGTTTCAGTAGTCTGACTGCTATCTAAAGCTCATTGTCTTTGAATTCAAAGGCCTGCATCTCATCATCTTTCATTTCTGCATCATATTCTTTCCCCCTGCTACTTTAGGCATTCAGATCTGTATTTGATCCCTTTCTCCTCCCCCCGTATCTTTACTTACATTTCATGTCATATTCTTCACTTTGATTTAGGAAACTTGAGTATAATTGTATGTTATATATGTTAATGCTACTACAAGAGAAAATGACTGCACCTCTGGCTTTTCTTCATGGGTATTACAGTGTCCTGTTCTGTCTCTGCTTATACAGATGAAGTACTTTTTGATGTACCAAAACTACAGGGATGCTGTTACCTTTGGATCTTTCCTTACAGAGACCTGTGAAATGTATGTTGCTGTAAATCTTCCAAACTGGTTCACTTGTCCGATGACTATACTTCTTACTCTGGAGTAAGCAAAGAGCACTGGTGGTATGCTTTAAACTCTGTTGTGAGAGTACAGTGTCAGATTTTGTGGACTTTTATTATCGTATGTGATTTCAGTTAGTAAATATTTTTTTCTGCACTTGGCAGGTTTCTTTACTGAGGCAAATCAGATGTAATCTGCAGCTTTTATTTAAACGCTATACAAATTTGAGTAAACTGGCACTAAAAGTAGTACTAAGTGCCATGTCCTGTACTTGACTTATTGCAGAATGAAAGCTAATATTAACAGAGGTAATACTTTTTTTTTTTTCCCTTTAAATAAGGAAAGCCAAGTGGCTCTTAAATATTTTTTTCATGTCTCATGAAACTTTAGGTCACAAGGTTTTTGTGGCCTGTGTTTTGAATGCTTTTGGCTGGTAGTACAATGAAAAAGTAAAACAATTATAATAGCTAAAATAATTAACATATAGCTTGCTGTGCCTGTCATTAGAAATGTTTTAGGATAGCACAGTTAAATCATCCTGAACCTCTTCTGGGTCCTGGCAGCTTGCCCTTGTGTTTCAGTCTCTCAAAATCTACTTTCATGCCTTGAATTTGAGAGTGCACTGTGTGTGTAACTCAGGAATTTGTATTGCCATAAATGTTAAAGGACAAGAGCAAAAGTAGTTTTGGTGTTGATTCTCTTAGGTGTACAGATGTTAATACTAACGTAAGCTGGATGTTTCATATAGGTCTGTACCATGTTTGTGCAGCTAGACTGGAAGTAGTCTTAAATTCTTAAATAATTGGCCCTTACTTTAAGGTTCCTAAAAGCATTAAATTAGCAATGCTTGGATGCTCTGTGTGAATGTGAATGCCTACTTACTTTCTAATAGGTGTCTCTTTCTTAATTTACTGTTTACGTTCTGAATGGTGGTATTCAGTTCCTGAGAGCTTCCTCTGCACTTGCAGTTTTGCTAGGAAGAATATTATGTTAATCTTTGCTATTAGAAGGCATTTGTTTAAGACATTTTGGATCTTAAAAAGTAATGAACAAGCTAATATTAAATACAGTATTAACCAATAAATTGTTCTCCAAACTTGAACTTTGTGGTATTCTTTTAGTAATATTATAACATTGTTGTGGCTATATTTAGAGAAATTCTGAGTAATACATGCCAGTCGATCAGTCCTGCAACCCCAGAGAGTGCTTCATTCCTAAAAATTGTTGGACTAGAAAAGAAAGTATACAGGAAGGGAAAAAGGGAATGTACTATGTAGGCTTCAGACAAACTGTTGGTTTTTTTGTTGTTGTTTTTGTTTTTTTTTTATTTTTTTCTTCCTCCTCCTCCTTATTTTTGTAGACAGGTAGATGGGTGAACCTTCCTTACCCAGTGCTTACATCCTGTCTCCTCAAGGTCCAGAAGTTTTTATTGTAACAGAGGTGGGAAGAGCATCTCCAGCTTGTCCTCTGGCTCTTTAGATCTAGAGCAGCGAGTGTTTTGTCTCGGAGGTACAACATACACAGAAACTTAGATAAGCTTCTAGTTTCTGTAAGACTCTTTGGATTTAAGTGTATATTATGACTATTATTTTAAGATACTTATAGCCACTTTGGATCTTGAAATATTTCTACTCGTAAAGGGCAGCAAAGTGCCCTTCAAAATCTAAAGTTCAAGTTATTTGTCTTCGATTTTCTGTGCTTACAGTGAATGTGGATCATCTGACCTTCACAAATCTGTTTTCTTTTACTATGACTTTAGTTTGTATGTCTCACTAAGTTTGCTTAATAAATATTTATTTCTTTCTGCTTCGGGGTTCCTTGTTCTGTTAAGGCCCTCTAAACTGGTCCCACAGTTGTGGGGGACATCATGTATGTCTGCTAAAATTATGTCTCTTAAAGAGTTTGTATTTCTTATGTCAGCTGTAATACAGGATTGTATTTGTTAAATGGATGTCAATAATTTTAAATTGTATGTTTTTTTAAATAGTTTTATATCAAAGTAAAAAGCTGTTTAACATTGTCAGTAGTGTGAAATTAAAAAGTAAACTACCTCTCTGAAGGTTTGCTTGTGCCAATACCATATCAGTTATTAGTTTCTGTGAATTTTTCACTGCTCATGTCAAAAGAAATCAATTACACTTACTAATACTTAAGCCTGTCCCCTACCCTGTCTCCTTCCTCCAAGGACATAAACACCTCCATTTTACTCTGGGGCTCAGCCTAAGGCAAGCTGTGAAGATTTGTGTCCAGGTTTAAATACTTGTGAAGTGTTAAGGCTCACAGGTACAAGTGTATAAAAAAAATTAATTAGTAAGCAGTTAAATGAAATTTTATGTTCACGCCTCACCTCTGATAGCTTCCTATACTCTTACCTATGGCTAAGTAAGTTGGAGTACAGTTTTGAGCGGCTCTTTATTGATGTCCTGATTCATGTAAGAGTTTGCATGGTGTTTTAACTTCTCATTGAACTTAGTGAGATATGTAGGAAAAGTAGGGATTAATTTAAGCATATGCTGTTCAGTTTGGAGTTTAAGCTCTCCTTAAGGTGGGTGACTTCTCTGTAGTCATCAGGAAGATGTCTGAAGAGGAGGAAACCTGTTCAGCTGAGGTGTTGGGGACAGGCTGAAATACTTAATGATGAGTAATTTACTCTAGGGAAAGCTCTTAGTAGCATGATTAAATGTTGACTACCATGAGATATTTTATGCTAATAAGTAGAGTGATGTTAACCAGTTGTTATGTGATATGCCAAACTGCTCTGGCATTCATGATGAGATGACTGATTGCAGTGGTACTATTAGATTGATTGGCTGTATTGCTGACTTAAAAAGTGAGCACTGCATTAAGGTGCACTGGATTATTACGAAGTGTTCTATCATAAGTGTAAGTTTTCAAGTTGTACGTGAAATATGTAGTTTTAGGCTGTTGAACAAAGAAAGTTAAGTATTTGTTTCAATGTTACACATTAAGTAGCTAATTATTTTGAAATTCTAACAGTTTTTTATGAGCTGCTGTGCTCAGCATATTTTAAAGTGCTCATTACACACAGGTCTAGATTTTTTTTAAAGAAAATAAACATATTTGAAATAAGACCTGTTTTCTAATCCTGCTGTCAGATGTAAAAATGCCTAGAATAAGCAGATTGTATTTCTTCATCTTGCTTTCCAATGCAGTGCCTCACAAAAAAGTGTGTGGCCTGAATGTGTGTGGGTTTTGTTTTTTCTTTTAATGGAGTTATGCAAGTTAACATAGCTTTTATTGTTGATTAATAGCTAAAATTATTGGGTGGGGGTAGGATGGGGAAGGGACTACTAGTGTGCATTCTTTTAGAGAAAGAAAATCTTAAGCTCTCTTCCATCACTTGGGTGCTTTCAGCTTTATGTTCTGCTCTGTCATTAGTTTATAGAAATGCTGGCATTCAGCTTGTCAAGAATTGGACATAACCGAGGAGCTGAAAAGAATGTAAACTCTTGTATAATGAAATATATAAAACTTTCTTGTCAGCCAAGGAGGAATAAGTGAAATAGTGTATTAGTGCGGTTTTTAAGTAGTTAGATTTTAGATTTGTTCTGTATGAAATGCTATTTCTCAAGTGTGCTGTATAAAGGAAATGTAGCTTCAGAATGCCTTCTATATTTTTTACTTCAGAACAAGCAAGGAAATGTCACAGAGAATGCTTGAGATGATAGAATAATACAGGCTAGCAGTGTATGGTGAACAGTAAAAGTATTCTACATATTACATCAAATAGTAAATGTTGTGGGCTGTTAGGAATCTGAGAGAGATCTTGTTTTACATTCATTGTAAAGGCTTTCCAGGAATTAATTCCAATACCAAACACTACTCAGTGAAGTCACATTGTTGATTACCTTTCATTATGAATGGACTATTTTGAGGTGGGTAGTTGTAGAAAATTTTGTAGTTACATATGGCTGTGTAAAATGAACATAAAAACTAGACAGAATAAGGGGATCTTGTCTTCAGAATGCAACCCTCATGAATGAAATGTAATTAAAACTGTCACCAGAACGTTTGATGTTAATTTTTTTTTTTTAATGTTAAAAGCTACTTGCCCAGTTAGTCATAGGCTAACCCTAATAAAACCCATTAAACTTTCTTTGGGTTTCAGATCTGTATTTGTGAATATATCTTTTATGCTACTGGTGGGAGTAAACCTATTGTTCCAACAGAAATTTGGTGAAAATCTCAGAAACCTAGAATTTGAGTTTCACTTGCTTTGTGCTAAAATACCGTCACCACTTTCTTTCCAAACTGAGATACAGAGAAGAAGCAAATTCCACTGTGTTTTGGCTGTTCATAAATATTTTTATAGAAGCTTCTTATTACTGAGACCTGAATTTTTTATGCTGATGCATATGCACAGTGAGTAGATCATTCCCACTTCCTTGAAACATATTATTAAGTTGTTTGAATGGCACAGTTTTGCCCAGCTGTTTTACACTTGGGTGAACAGTTAAAATGGATGTCAGTAGGTTTTGAGGTTTTTATTTGAACTCAAAGATAGTGACAGCATAGCTTGGGGTAGGCAGGGCACCTTTTCTACAGTTTGCTTTGCAAAATCATCTATGCATGCATGATAATCTACTTGTAAATCAGTTTACAGTATGCCTTACAGTATTTTTTTGTTTGTTTGCTTTAAGAGGCCATGATGTGAACTGCAGCAATATAGCAGCTGATTCCCGAGTGGTACAGTGTTTGTCTTCTGAATAAGGTAGGGATTTTGTTGGGGGGCTGGCACCTTGTGAGGGTAGTGAATTTAGCTGCTGGCTCCTTGGTGATGGTGGTTGCTACTTCCCAGAACTTCATTTTATTTCTAAGAAAACTGCAGATGTTCCCTTATGTGCATTCACAGGCACACCTTATGCCTATGCGTAATGTAATGAATTGTACCAGTGGGTTATGTGGTGCCCTGCAATTTTTCATACAGATTTTATCCATTATTTACCCATCCATTTTAGTGCCTTTTTTCTTAAATAAGCTACTGTATGTGCTGCGTCTAAGGCTATACTATAGTAGTGACTTGGCAGAGATTTTAAACACTTGCAAATGTAATTAAACTTCTCAAAAGTGTCAACTATAGATGGTTTTCTAGGGAAATTCTCAAGTGAGTCATGTACAGTATCACATAAGTAGAAGACTGAGTTCTGAGGACCTTATTCCCTAGGCTTATCTGATGGCTAGCAAGGAAGTCTAGATGTGATTAAAGAACTTGGCTATTGCTTCAGCATACAGAGAGTTACAAAAGTGGCTACGGTTAATATACCTCTACAAATTTGTTCTATCCAGTTTGGCCCTAGTTCAGTGAATATAACAGACAAAAGGTATCACCTCATCAGCCAAGAATTAATGCATTTTAGATAGAATAATGTACAAATTACACTACTGGGGCTAACTGATCCATGTTGCTGCTGTATAGGGCTGTTAGGGTAGGGAATGTTGACATGCTCCGGATCCTGTCTGAAGTAGGCTAGGTCAATAGGACTGCTTGCAAAAGTCACTGACTGCTGCAGTAGAAGAATTTGCATCAGTCTATAATGTTAGGCAGGTTTCAGAATTTTTCAGCAGCCCTCCTTGCAGCATAGTACAGGCTTTTTGGTTGCTGGCACAGCAGAATAGGGGAGTGATCCCACAGCAGTGAGACGTGAGTATAATCTGGCTGTGGTTGCATCATGTATTATTTAAAAGTTTTTCAACTGTTTGTTTTCCCTTCTGCACTACAGTTTGCTGTCCTCTCAATTGTAATGTTAAAAAATAGGCTGACTGAAATAATGCGAATTAAAGGTCTTCTCTCCTTCCCAAGGAAAGTAACATCAATACATATGCTTTGCATAATCTCTTGCTTCTCTTATTGTTTTCCAGGCCACTTACTAAGCATGCTGTATTGGCTTCTAAATGAAATCCAACAGTTTTCTCCTTCTGTAATTTAGGGGATAACATAGAGATTGATCTGCATATTCAGATTCTCAGCATATATGGGTTGGAATTTATGAAGGAGCGTAGGGATGTTAGGTTGATAATCTTTCAAATATTCAGTGTGAAATAATTTACTTGAAGTCATACAACAGTATCAGACTAGATACCATGTTTAGAATAAGCAAATTACTAGTGTAATGATAGGCTATTCTAGGTGATGCATCCAGTTGAGATGTAGAACTGGACCTGTGCTTCATATGGAGGAGCAGCCTTAAAGGCTGAGGGAGTCAAACAGAAGTTGTGGGACCTGGGCAAGATAATGCAGTGGGTGAGCATAGGGAATTTAATGGGAGCTGATAAAGAAAGGGGACTAGGAATTGGTTAGGAAGAAGCTTGGTTTTTGGAATATTTTGAATTTTGGGTGCTTGACTTGGTTTATTCTAGTATCATTAAATACAGAATTTGAATTACAGTGTTTGTCTTAGCAGTAGCTAATTGTCATGTTTCTTAATTCTAAATTACTTTCAAAATATCTACTGTATTATTAGGCAGGGATAAGTGGCTTTGAAGTTTCTTTTCTTTTTTTTTCTTGGGTGTCATCCAGTGTAGACAAAGGGGTTGAGATAAAAGGACAGAGCATCTGGGATTAGAGTGCACCGTAAGTAGCATCATGATTATTTCACACAGCTTCTGAACCTGTGACTAAGTTTTCTTTGGTCCCTTTCTGTATTTTAGAACATAAAGTAGTTTTTTGCAGATTTTGTTATTGAATCGCAGTTTCTGTAACATACTCTTGTTGACTGATTAAATTATTGGTGGATGTAATGGGTTGCTTTCATAGAAGAATGTGTTTTGTTTGCTTGTACAGTCTGAGACACACCATTTATGTTTGCTTTTGAATTTTTTATATGAACTGCAAAAGTACAGAGAGAAAGAATGGGAGTCGTGGTTTATCTTGGATTATCCAAACTTGCTGTGGAACATTGTTGCCAAAGGCTATTATGCTGAGAGATTATTATGTTTATGAAGTTGTTGTATTTTCTCAAACCACAATTCTTGTAAAAGGATAATTAACTTAAAGCTTGGGCTATTCTTTCCAGAATGTGCCAGTGCCAAAATATTTTCAAACAATACATAGTTATCATTTCAAAGATATCCTTTTAACTTGAAATACTAAATAGTGCAATAAGTTTTTAAAACATACTGCTGTCCTTCTAGTTTACTAAATGCTATTTTTAAGGTAAAAGCAAGCCATTTATCTCACATTAGAAATCAGATGTGAATGTGCTACTTCATATGAAGTCTTAAAGTTTATGTTCTTGCTCTAAATCAATATTTATGCTGTTGATTTTCTTATGCTGGGGGGACATATGCACAGAAGTCTTGCTGTTCGTAGCTGTTGTTGCTGAACACTTTAACAATGAGGTTTAGCAAATCACAAGCTTCCAAAGGTTTCATGCTGTGTGTTTATGTAAACTGTAATTTAATACTGAGTTGGATAATGCTTGAGCTGGAGTTTGTAAGGATGCTTGACATCCATAGTTGACTTTTTGAAAAACGATGGGAATGATTTCCATCAGTCAAGTGAAACAGCTTAAGTGTCAGGAGTTTAGTATTTGTTTGTACACTTTGGTGAAGTTTTACGTTTTTGTTTTTAAAGAAAACTCAAAAGTAAGTGGACTTTTTTAACAAAATCTGTACTGGCTAAATTATCAGTAATCCTGCTCCTAAACGTTTAGGAAATTTTGAAGCTGTATCTATGCAGAATTGTTGACACTTTTACTGCATTAAAAATGGCAGTTAGAAATAGCACAGTTAGAAATTGTAGAATGCCAACATGCTGCTTCTGTAAATCTAGATTTAATGAGCCTTATTAATCTCATTCTTGATGTTGCAACTGGAGTACTATGCTTTTGATAAAAATTTTTTCCCAGCTTTTAAACAGATGTCAGTATTTGCTTGAAATTATACTTTGCACACGTAACTAAATGTAGCTTTATATGAACTTACCTTTGCATAAAATACATTCAGAGAAAGCAGTTTCAGAGACTAGGTGTTCTGTAGGTTTTTGTACAACTGATACACAAGTTGATCTATTTTAGCAGAATACTGTAATATCTCTTTACATCACAATGAAGCTGTATTTTCGTGACCACTTTAAAATGGTCCAAGTATGACCTGCTTCCAAAATAGAAGAGTATGATTTCTCCTTAGGCTTCATGGTCCAGCCTTCCTGTTGTTGGCACAAGAAGATGAGTGCAGTGATTTGAACTGAAGCTTGTCTGGCTAATTATAAGATAGCCAGAGCAGGAAAAGACCATGTCTTTCAGATGCAGTCACCTTTAGATCACCTGAAGGTAACAGATAATAGCATTCTGAGAAAGAAGAGCACTGCAGTTAATTAAAAATATCTAATATGACTGCTTAATTCACAAAAATAAAACGTCACACTACCTGATAGCCAGGCATGTTTCCTATACACAGGAGGAAAAAATATGTCTTTGTTATAGATTGAATTTGTATTATCTCAGAAACATAGGCTTGGTTTTGAAAGAGGTGTTTTTGTTACCTCCTGTCAGTGCTAGTGGACATAATTCTAGTAGAGAATTACAATTTTTATAAAAGAACTACTTATATTGGGCATTTTTCTGTGACAACACATAAAAAAAAAGAAAAAATTGAGTGGAACACAGATATGTAAATATTAGTATTGAGTCATTTGGATTTCTCCGTGATTTCACAACAGCAGTAAGAAATTATTTATTTATTTACTTTTCAAGGAAGCAAGCAGGGCTTGGCAGGATAAGAGTTTATGGAGTAGCCCAGTATTTAATCTGCAATATATAGAGGGGCCTTTAGTGAGTGTTACACAGCTGTATTGTGTATCAATATTAACTGGTTTGGCGCTTTTTTTTTTTTACTTTTTAAAAGGTGTGTGGGCATCATAGTTATTCCCTTTACATAACTAATATAAAATGCTCTAATTAAAGTACATCGATATTATGTATAATGGGAATGATATATGAATAGAATACAACTGAGTTTCTTCTGTAAATGGGACTTTTTATATCTTTCTCCCTACATCCCAGTCATTCCTGTACCACATATAAATATGGCTGCTGGGACACAATTAATGTAGTGTGGTTTTTTAAATTGTGAAAGAGAATATTTAAGAGAAAGTCAAAACTTTTAGATGTTTAGCTTTAATCTTGAGTATGTGGTTAAAACAGCATTCACAATCCTTAGCTGTTTAGAAAACGGTCTGCCTGTAATGTTAAAATCTTTGACATAAAACGTGACTCTTATTAATATAAGCATCTGCTTATACAAGTAGAAAAAGCATCCATTCTATTTAACCTTTACCTTAATATTTTCTTTTCAGTATAAATACTTGTTACTGCTTATAAAATCATTGTGCTTTTTGTTATATTCTGCCTAGATTAGTGCTGTTCTCTGTGTGGAACAAATTTAAGGTGCGAAATGACTTGCAATTTGTCCTCACTATTAAATTCAGCATGATGGAAAGATTATTACATGAAACTTAAGTTCTTAAGGTTAACTTGTAGCTTTACTGACTGTGAGGGGTAGTTTTAAGACACCGTTGTTAACAGGAATTTTTAAATCTGTTCTTCCCAGAGACTTCCTATCTGTCCTGGTTGTTTGAAGACAACACTCTATGTTTCTCGGGTTGCACTGAATCAGTAGGAAAGTTGTGAAGTTAATTAGATATTATTAATAACATCTGGTTTTGCTATTCGTACTGCTGTCTTTTTCTGGATAAACTAAATAAGCAAGAAC